TGTAATTTCTGTGTTCATCTCAACAAAGTTTAATTCACCCATCGTCCTAAAAAAAATGGAGCAACACAGGGACCAATTTTAAGCATGAAATTTTTCTATTTGGCTTCAATGGGACAGATACCTTGGTTAACTCATCTTAAGATCACTGTATGATAACAATTTCACCAGTTTCTATGGACCTCGGAGCACTGACACCAATCAATGTCAGCACGGTTTTATCAGAAGATTTTTGCTTATTTATTTTCAAAGAGCTACTTTTAGTGGGCATATTATACTTAAGGGAACGTGAAGGTAAACTTTGTAAGACTTGAGGTTCTCACAGCGGTGAGTATGAAGATTTCTGTCTTCTGGGTTATTGCGCTGTGTAGTCTGGTCGATGTTAACCAACGTTTCAGAGGTCATACTGCCTCCGTCATCAGGGCGATGAATATGCCAATAGGGTGTGAGGAGTTGGATTTATAGGCAGGGAAGTGAAAGGTTTAGCCTGCCCCGAGCCAATGGGAGCAGGTATGGGAGTGGACCAATGGTAGCACGTGGGCGAGAGTGGGAGAGGGAAAGAAAGTAGAGAGAGAAAGGTGAGTTTAGTTGTATGGAAGGTAAACTTTATTTCCATATGGAGGTGAGTAGTCAATTTCACACTCTGGTTGCTGAAGAGTCTTCAGTTTCTGCTGGAGAGGAGACTATGTGGACCAACTGATATTCTGGACATGAAGATAAAACCTCTCAATGTCCCTGCTGGTAAGTGCACCCCTAGCCATCTCAACACTTTCCTGCCTCTAATCTTGTTACAGTAACTCTAAAACATTTTCCCCTTTCCCATAAAGAGATGGTTTGAAATGCAATTCAAGAACATAATCTTGTTTATTTCTTACTATCATGCTGAAAAACATTTCCACTGAAATCTAATATCACTATATATACCAAAGCATTCGTAAAACTAATTCAATTCACTATATGTTTGCAAAACACAGTAATCAGTGTCTTTTACTATTTACACACTGCTAAATAGTTTGGTTGCAAAATTATTTCATTCTGTATTCTTGTAAAGGATATCCATGGATTTTTCAACCAAATCAGTACAATAATCTCCCACAGGACAGTTTCTTAATATACCATATACAGAATGGTAAAATTTTCCTGCCATATAATAAAATTTGGAGAGGCAGGAAATCAATGCTTGCCGTTAAGTTTACTCGTCTTGTTAACCTTTTTAACATCTGACATTTACAGATGATATGTAGGATAACTGTGTTCCTCACTGTAATTTAAGGTTAACATATGATACAAGTTAGTAACTTATAATGCAAATAATATCTGAATGTACAGAGCTTATACAGTACAACCCCTCTATAATGCGGTTCGCTATACCGCGGGTACCTCATGTCCCCTATAGTGCAGCAAAAAGGAAAAAAAGTGCATCAATTATCCTTCACACAGAACTCAAGATTCATTTCTAAACATGTACCGTTACATTACCTACGAGGTAGCTATAATTTTTGTGCATACTGTACTTTTATTCAGAAGCCTTTATTTATATACTGTATGTTGTACTATGACTCATAACGTAGGGAAGTGTACTGAACTAATTAGGCTTAACAGACCTACTATAAACAGAACGTTTATTTTACAATAGCCATCGTTTTGGGTAGTTCTTGGAAATAGTTGGCAAAAATAGTTTATTTTAAAATAAATTTCCAGTTGTACAGGATATGACCACGTTCAGTTACCCATTGTCATTCACAGCTATCGTGTCATGCAGTTTTATGTCTCGTGTAATTTTATTGCGATCTAACGAGTGTGCTAAAAGCATTTTTTTTTCTTTTAATTTCTTTACGTACATTTTGTCCTGTATTTTTGTTTACCGGTAGATTAAAGTGACTTGTACTTTTCAACTGCTTTCATTGCTACTTTTTGTCCAGTGCACGTTAACGAATTAGTCACAAATGGCAACAAAAAGAAAAATTAGACATTATCGACAAAGTGAAACGGTTGTTCGAAGGCTAGTTTATTTCGGGAATTCTTCGATGCACTCCCGTAATAACGCGGGTTTACCCCTGTCCCCCATGACCCGCGTTATAGCGGTGTTGTACTGCATATCCCTCCTCACCTGAGAAACAGAACAAACAAGAAACGGAAAAGCGAAAAATAACTACAGTAACAAAAACTGACTTACGAAGTTAACAAAAGAGTTCATTAATTTTCCAAAGTGTTACCAAAATTCAATGTCAGAGTAGAGGTAATGGTAGTATTACCACCGGCCATACAGACACCATTCCATCAGCAGCCGTGCCTGCTTTGGATTCTCCTCGATTAAGGCAGGCTGTTCTGGAATGAAACGCTTGGCCCTCAAGCTTGGTAGCTGCACATCGTAATACACATAGATCTGAAACAATAGAAATCTTAAATGATGCTACTTAGTGTGATGGTAACAAAAGGGAAGTGGTTTTGTTAGACAGCATGAGATAAATTATACTTTAATACAATCAAACACTGTTAAAATTCTTAAGGGCCTTTGAGAAACAAGATTAAAAAGGCACAATCTTTGGGGTACACTGGAATTCCAAAAGATTTTCTTCAAAACATCATGGATGATGTTGACAACAGCAGGCTGCCTGGTAAACACAACCTAAAGAATTGTACACTTATCAAAAATAATGAAAAATTTAACAATGGCATACAACAGCTGTGCTGTGATGTAATGAGGTCATCGTTGAGCCACCAATGACCTTCGTTTCCACCACTGCAACAATAGACCAATTGCCTCCATCATCAGGGCCCTGATGATGGAGGCAGCAAGGGCTTGTGAAACGACGGTAAACTTCTACCAGACTACATGGCACAACAACCTGGAAGACAGCCATCTTCAGGTTCTAAAACTCATACATAAGGGGTATAATGTGTCTCTTAAAGCCTCTCCTATATCCTCACCTTGCTTTGTGAACTGTAAATCAGCATCCAAGATATTTGTGTGTATGAATGTTGAGTGCTGCTGACTGCTGATTATGATAAGTTTTATTTTCTTGTTAAATGGCCAAAGATGGACAACTACGCTCAGGTTGATAAAGCCTCAGAGTTGACTAGTGTTTGGATTGTGGTTCCTCTATGAATGTTACAAGTTTCCTATTCTAAATATATCCATTAAATACTCTACCGGCTCTTAAAATAAAAAAATTGTGCACTTTTAACACAAGTGCTACACAAAACATGGGCAAGATTGGCTGTCAGCTCAATCAATTCACTAGAAGCGAGTGTTAAATTCACAGCCATTTAGGAATACCAGTGTGACTGTTACCTTATTGGTGAATGTAGTGTACACAAGACAAGGAACAGGCGGCTGGCCAGGCTGGAGGGTGTAGTATCCAGAACAGAAGCTCACCACCGACTCCTCCAGCTGAAAACGCACACTGCACTTCTCTTGGTCTAGGATGTATGTTTGTCCATCCCACGAACATGCCACAATCTCATCTCGACCATCCCCTGTCATGTCCAGCTTTGTAAGTGCAAACAGCTGATGGTCTACCTGAATTGACCTGAACAAAGAAATGACAGTTACTTGTCTCTGTTCATGGTTTATAGTAGTAATATTTTATCAAATTATATGTTATGTATATCAGCAGACCGATGGCTGGTTATAAGAGCGTTTTTAAGTCCTGCATCTAAATTCAGTCACTCCAAGGCCGTCTGTATATCTTTGTTCATTTAACGACACTGTATGTATTACGTAGATTATATATTTTCAAATGACGAAAATGATTATAAATCATGTACTGTGGCGAAATTGCCACGGTGGTCTAGCGGTTAGAACGCTGGCCTTGTAATCCTGGGGTCTCGGGTTCGAATTTATAACTTGTGTTGGGCAAGGCCGGGGTCTAGGGAACACGGAGTTTTCCTCCGGGGGCTTCTTCCCCGGTTTCTCCGTGGCATCCCACCAATTACTCCATTCACACACAGAAGCAGGCAATGGCAAACCACTTCTGGATCATCTGCCAAGAACGTATATGAACAGGTCCCAGTCCGAGAAAAGGATGGAAGGATCCTGTTCATATGGACCTGTCGCCAGACAGAACACTAAATAAATAAATAAATGGTGCAACCCAGAAGACAGCTACCTATGTTCTTTATTCTCTCCATTACTTCTTTGGATATATGTTCCCACATCAATGTTTCCAAATTTACTGTATGTTCAGGTTTTCATTCTTGGTTGTGCTCTGTTACCAACTGCCTCATGGCAAATGCCCAAATAATGTTAACATTTACTACGGACTATTCTTTGAATTGTTCTTCTGTAATGGCATGGTTTAGATGGAAGAACATGCAGGAATGGAAAAAAAAAGGGGGGGGGGGGGGGAGAAATTATGATAGGCTGGACAAACGAAAGGAATAAGAGATGTTACAGGTATGAAAGTGATAAAGAAAAAGAAAAAAAGGGGGCAACAATTAAGATGTAAAAGAAATTCCCTGTTGAATTTAAATTCTTTTAACACCAGTATCAAAAATTTTATAGGGAGTTGCTGAGGTCACAGCATTTAGCCATTAACATTAAAATGTACAAGAACCAATAGCATTGTGGCTATTTGACATACCACAGAACAGTTTCATCCTGCACCAGCAAGAGTGTTCCATCCAGAGTTGCTACTGCATATCGTGACGACACAGACGAATCTTTCTCTCTTGTCTTGATACCACCCTGGATTTGTGTTGATACGTTTGAGTTGCGCATCCTGGAGCAGGATAGTGGATGGTACTCTAGAAATGTAGTTGCCAAGACCTCACTGTAAGGTAAAACAAAAAATCACAATGCAATGCTATGTGATGAAAATAAGAAAAGCTCACAATTAAAAGGAAATTTTATCAACATGAGCAGTTAAAATATTCTGAAGTAATTTGATTCAACAGCAATGATGTTCATACAAGGAGTTGAGACTTCAGGTTCACATGGCAGCAAATACTAAGAACACAGTCTTCCGGGATGTTGTGCTATGCGGTCTGGTAGAAGTTTACCAACGTCTGAGAGTGACAGAACCAAAAATTTTAGTAAAATTCAAGTAGCAGAAATTAAATTTTGAAGAAATGTCAAAGGGTATAACAAATTAAATACATTGAACAATGAAAATTTATTAAAAGAACTGAATATTTAAAGTAAATGATTGAAAGACCTTAACAGGACATGTAATGATGGACTCCAAAATCATTTAAAAGATAACCATGAAGTAATAAGAGGCTTTGAGAGCAGTCTGCAGTATCAGAACAAGTGCTTACCTGTCTACTGTGCCTGCTTCTTCATTTGTGTGACAGCGAATTTTCATCAATGTACCCCCAGGCTGAGCTATTAACAGACATGGTGTACCATCGGGTAAATGGTTCAGCGTCACAGTTCCAATCTGGTTTGCACATTCCCATTTGTGTAGACCAATCAGTTTCCCTGAACCAGGCTGATTTGAGTCGGCAACCCAACGATATGACCGCACGACACGGTCTGTTAATCCCATTACTAACTCTGTATATCCATCCCCATCTATGTCTCCCAAAAGTACTACCTGTAACAAAGTTATACATATGATGACTAATTACAATAAATAGACAGCATTACCAAAGCATAACTGAGAACTTTTAATCCAGTGCTGGTAATACAAATGTATGATGAGAAAATTGTATCATGATATGCCATCACCAGAATCAACAAACCAGTGATGGACTCTGTAACTTAACTGACAAGTTAGCTTCCAATGTTACTGAACCTTACCTTGGTATTGGCTGGAATTCTTTGAACAT